TGTTGGCAGTCTGTAAGAAGCTCTTCAAGTGTTGTTTTATATTCAAAGTGGTCTCGCTCCTGGAACCAAGTATTTCCTCCGTTCTCAGGGCCAAGTGATGATACCCGAAGATGGCGCCGAGTGTTCCCCGGCTAAAGGCTGTGACGACTCCCATATCTTCGACGAGCACCTCAGTCCTGCCAAGAAGGCTCGCAGCTCCACCATGGGCAGGTTTCCCAAACAGGAAGCAGCGATGCTTCCCCGAGAGGGAAACGCAGGTTTTTATGATATGGACTCATCATCCTCATCTTTCCCCTACCCATCATCCACCCCAACAACGTTGTCACGGCAAATGCCTCTCGCTGCTAACGTGTCTCGGTCCCAACCTCAGGGTGTAACGGCTCCATACTCATCTACCTCTTCATCTTCCTCATCATTGACCTCCGGCTCTTCATCGTCTCACAGCTCCTCCTCCTCCTCCTCCTCCTCCTCGCAGCAGCAGCAGCAACAACAGCCGCCGACCTCTCACAACCAGTGCTTTCCCCGGGACAAGGACGCAGCGTTTTCAGGCGGTGGGCAGAACGGTGAGGATCAGACTCCCGGTCCGTCCCCGGAAAAACTACGATGGGGTGTGGACTACGCTCCCAAGGTACCGCTGAAGAACTATGTGGTGCGACCAGCACCTCCTCCGATGATCCCAGATTTTGTTACGATGGAAAACGGTTCCCCACACCCGTTACCCCATGGCTTGTGGATGCTGGTGTTTCGCTACCTACCTCAGTCTGAGTTGGCGCGTCTGTCGTCCGTTTGCCGCACCTTCGACTGCTGGGTCCTTGACCCGATCCTTTGGCTGGAGATAAACCTGTCCCTGCGCAGCGTCAAGCAGACCCACCTCAAGTTTGTCATGCTGCGGCAGCCTCAGTCGCTCAAGCTGGCCTCCTCCGTCATCTCGTACGCCCAGCTGTCCTGGCTCATCGCCCGGCTGCCGGGGCTGAAACTTCTGGACTTGTCCAACCTCTCCTGGGCGTCCATCTGCGCCCTGTGCTCGTCAGACTGCCCCCTGCTTAAGTCGCTCAACCTCAGTTGGGCTACGGGCATCCGCGACCTTTGTTTTCGGGAACTGGCTTCTCCGCCAGTCAACTTAAAACCTGGCCAGCGCAACATTTCCCGACTGTGCCGATTGGAGCGTCTGAGCCTGACGGGCACCGACATCAACGACCAGAGTCTGGAGGTCATTGCCGCACACCTGCCCAAACTGGCAGCCCTGGACCTGACCTGCTGCATGCGGGTCACTGACCGCGGGATCCGGGCTCTCGTGCAGCTAGGGGCTCCGTGTCACTTGCGAGAGATACGACTGGTCAAGTGTGTCCAGCTGACAGAGCGCTGCCTCGAGTCCCTCGCCTCATGCAGGGAGCTCAGCTTTCTGGCGCTGACAGACATCCCGGCCATCAGCCAGGAGGCTTGTGTTCGGTTCTCCAGAAACTACCGGCATCGTACACTTCGGGCTCATGCTCATGGCATCATCAGTGACTAGTGGTGGTGTTGAACCTCAGGGAACTGCTGCACCTCTACAGGTGTTGGCAACTTTTCAGTATAATAATATATTCTTCTAACCATTGTTGCAATACTACTATATTCAATTAATTGCTTTGACCATCTGTCCAAATGAAAAGAGCCTTATTTATAATTGCTGTTTCACACTCGTAGATGCATCCCTCTGTTCTGAGGTGCTTTGTCTTTGACCAACATAGTGTCACTTTACATTTCTTGTAGTAGATTAATTTCTGAGCTCATTGTTGATGAGAAACATATGTAATGATGCATCATGGGGGAAATCGGGGGCTCATCAAAATAAGTAATTCAAAGAAACAGGCATTTTTATGCTTGTTCATTAATTTTTATCGAGTTTTTGTTTTTTGGCTCAACACCTTTTGTAAAAAAAAAAAAGACTGAATTTGACTGAAAAACATTAATTAAAGGCTCAACAAAACATAACAGTTTTCAAGGACTCTTATGCTTTGGAAGTAGCCAAACTTTGTCAGCTATTTTCTCGCTAATTTTGCCTCATAAACCAGATGAGCCCCACCTCATTTAATCGCAAATATCTTGACTTCCGTTCAAGATAGATGGATTTTTTTTTGTTCAAAACACAACAAATGAGCAAGGTTTAAGATATACCAGTAACTCCGTGTGCCCAAACGTTGACGAGCTCCTGATACCCCCACGTCGTGACACATAGGGTATGATCGCACGTGTACTGTACATTTTTCAGCCTCTTCTGTTGTGAGTTGTTGTTGAACGATCAGTTTATTATTAAAGACCTTGACCTATTTTTTCTTGTGTTTGTCATGCAGATTTTTTACGATTGCCCTTTTTTTGGTGTGAAATGATACACCTGCCGATTAGAACCAGTGGTGAAGGCTTTTTAATTTTATATGTTCATTTCATTTGTAATCCCTTTTTTGTCCGTGTCTTGCAACATTGGCAATGCATTTTTTGTGTGCTAAGTTACTGGTATCTGGATGATAAAATATTATATCTGCAGTATGCTTTGTGTTTCTGTACATTACTACCGTAAATACCGATGGTGTGGGGCAAAGATTAACGTAGATTAACTTTTTAACTTACTTTAGCTGTCCCCGCGGTTTTATACACAAAAAAAATAATCTGAAATTATGCAAACTGAGCCGAAAAATGTGAAATTATGCGATTCTGTTAATTTTAACAAAGAATGATAAAGGAAAATAATGAGTAATTATGCAAAAAATAATCAAATTTTGCTATATTATGCAGGGTGCATAAAACCCTGTGGACAGCTTTAGACATAGTACATACCTCTGGTGATTGCATTCTCTTGGAGATGAGCAATGAGGGCAGTGCCACTGACTGAAGTGTCTTTAGGCCATTCCCAAAGGGGGGGACATATCTCGTTCAAGCATAGTAGAATTGTAAATGGGTTGACTCATGTCATGCTCATAACTGTACCTGATCTACAACAGGGAACTGCTGCTTTTTCTTTCCTGATCCTTACTATTGTCATTTTCATCTACTTCTTTTGTATGTTTGTCACTCTCTTGTGACCTGCTATTTCTGGGGTGCCTTGATAGTCGAAGCAGACCTTGAAGCTAGAGAGGTGAGTAGTCTAAGTGTGATTCCCTGTAAAGACTTCTCTGTTGACACCCACCCCATGGCGCTCATATGACCTTATGCAGTTGCGAGTGCCGTAAAACCCTCTACTATAAAAAATAAATAAAACGTTCTCTTGGAGATGAACAATGAGGGCAGGCTCTTTATTTTCACTACCGGTACGGTACTCTCAATGTCTACCACCCAAGTGTGGTTGGTAGGTTTATGCAAGATGGGCGTGGGTTCATCTGCCATTTGGTCGCTTTTAAGGACAAGCGGGCTAACCCAGATTTTGGGGGTTTCTGGAAATCTTGACCTAGACCAAAAGTGGGCTTTGCTCTACCTACAAGAGAAGTTTGGTTTCATTGATGTGTGTGTAGGCCCTATTTGTTTAGTTATAGAGAACACGCTCCTTGTTTTTCTATGAAACTGAACAAGGGGCAAAAACGTTTCCTTCGATTTTCTCAAAACAGCATTTTTCGGGATAGCCGCCTTATGCTTAAAAGCGACCATTTTCCAGTTTATTGAACTAGTTCTCAATGGAGATACATATACATGGTTTCTCAAAGTGAATTAGGTTCACTTCAGTTAAGAATTCCAAAATTGAAGAGTTAGTTAGAAAAACAAAGTAAATACTTGTATAATACAATAATAAAGAATGTTTGGGAAATGAGCTCTATGTATATATAAAAATAAGTCAAAATCATGCAAACTGCTTGTGATCTAATTATCATTTTTGGGGAATTTCATCGCGTTGGATTGAGGAGTCTTTATTAATTAAGAGTTTTCATGATGATCAGATCACTCTGTCTTGTGGGCTACCTGTTTTTGAAACACGCACAAAAAGCTGTGGGGAGAAGATACCACTCAGAGTGGCGGCTTCATCAAAACTAAATGTTGTGGTTGATAATTTTTTTTTAAAAAGTACCCCCCCCCTCCGTCCCATTACACTTTATTATATCCCTCACGTCTGCCATCATTTATTGGCCTATTGAACAAATGACAGCTGGTCTTCTTTAAAGAGAAATGGATTTGTAGAAAATTTTTTTCCCTGAACAGAGCTCTGATTCATACCTACATAGACAGCTGATGGAGAGAGTCTGTGGTAATCCTTTCATTCATTTTCATGGATTATTAGTTTTGGATGTGTGTGTACAAGGTGGTTTGGGTGGGTGG